CCTAAATTAAAAAATATATATATATAAAATATTATATATCAAATCATATATATTATATAAAACTATATATATATGCTTTGGGGCACAGCTGGTTCACGCCCTTGTAATCCCTAAACACTTTTTTGGAATGCATGAAGGTGGAGGTTGCATGTGAGCCTGTATGTACCCACTGCACTCCAGTCCTGGACATCAGAAGCAAGACTGTGTTTCCAAAAAAAGGGGGGGGGGAGAAACCCCCTGAAAATACAATCAAAATGGTAAGTATTAATTAATGATGGGTTTCCCTCTGATCAGTGGGATTATCCATCTTCAACACTTTTTTTAACTGCAAAAGCCAGCCACATACTGAATGGCCAGAATATCTGAAAGGACCAGGAAGCATAAAGAAAAAAAATTAAACTTACTTATGTACTATTATCAAAATCTGGAAATGAGAGCCTGTTATACAATGGCTGTTTTTATGCCTACTTGCCTTTTTAAATTACGGTAAGTTTTATTTTTCCTCTTTACACCTTTTTCTAGTTCTAAATCTTCCATAGTAAATATATAAATATTTTTTTCCATAATCAGAAGCAAAATGTATAATTTCATTAAAAAGTTAGAACCTATAAATGTTAAGAAAGCATATGTCTCCCAGACAATTTTAGACTTTCTTGATCTTTTCACCCTTTAAGATTAACACTGAACCGAGGAGTGTCTCGTGTTGGGAGACCTCAATCAAAGCCTTCTCCGAGTTCGTCTTCTTTCCTTTGGGACACTTTTTTTTTTCCCAATGAAACAGATTTTATAAAGAAACTAGAGGATGGGGGTTCCCACCAATGTTTGAGATCAGGCTGGTCCTCTTCCCTCGCTCTTATTTTTTTTTTTTGTTTTTTTTTTTTTGAGATGGAGTCTCGCTCCGTTTGCCTCAAGCTCCCCCACCTGGGAGTGCCGATGGTGGTAAAATAAAGCTCAACTACAACCAACCTAGTCTAATATTTTCTATTTTTAGTAAAGGACCCGGAAGTTTCTCCCATGGTTGCCTCGGCCGGTTCGAACTCCCTGGCCCAAGTGAATTCCCTCGCCCATCTCAGCCTCCCAAAGTGCTGGGGATAAAGGCAATGAAACACACACAGAAGCTGGCCCTTCGACTCTTTTTTTTTTTTTTTTTTTGTTTTTTTTGAGACGGAGAACACACACACTGGAACACGACAACAAAACAACAGAAGCAAAGTGACACACTCAGAACACACTGGCAGCTTCCCCTCCGGGTCACGCATTCTCCTGCCCAGCTCCGGAGTAGCTGGGACTACAGGCCGCCCGCCACGGCAGTACATTTTGAGGCACAGTTTCTTAAAGTTTATCTTTTCAGACATCCTAATCATTTTTCAGAGGATTTGTTTAAAACCAAACTATCAGAATTTAGATCTGTAATTATGATCATTAGAGCTATTTCTACAATGAAGCTGATTATCATGAACTCCCTTGAAGTCAGAAGAGTGTTGTTAATCCATGAAAGGTAGAGATAGTAAAGCACATCCCACTCCTGTCCTAAGCGTGGATCTTTTAACAAATGGGTTTTTAGGCACGTTGTGCACATTTTATTTAATGATTAAAAAGTAGATTCGGCTACCTCCACTTCTCATGTAGCCAGTACACTCAAGCCATTTCCTTATAGACCGGTAACTATGGATAGGGACTGGAGATAGCATTTGCTTCACAGTACTACTGTTGATTCAAAGTTTCAAACAGATTGCTGCCATTATGAGGATATGGAAAGTTTTATCTATATTTTGTCTAAGTCAGAGTTTAATTATATGCTAACTACCCTGGGAAAACTAGACAGGCTATGAAGGCAGGTGAATTAATTTCTTGTCTATTAATAAAGGACCCCGGCATAGCTCAAATGCTTGAGACACTTGATCATCATCTGTCTATCCCTTTTCTAAGCACAAAAACAAACCTCCTAAGCACAGAACCTAAGCACAGAAACAAGCCTTTTGCTTACAACGGGCAGAACCCCAAGTTTACACTGAAGATAAAATTTAAAGAAAGTGACTTGTTAATCAAAACGAACATTATTTCAGTGTTAAAATTTCAGCTGGGCACAGTAGCTCATGCCTGTAATCCCAGCACTTTGGGAGGCTGAGGTGGGTGTATCACTTGACCCCAGGAGTTTGAGACCAGCCTGGGCATGGTGAAACCTTGTCTCTACAAAAAACACAAAAATTAGCTGGGTGTGGTTATCACACTCCTATAGTTCCAGCTACTTGGAAGGCTGAGGCAGGAGGATCACTTGAGCCTGGAAGGCTGATGCTGCAGTGATCCATGATTATGTCCCTTTAGCCTAGGTGACAGAGTGAGACCCTGTCTCAAAAAAAAAAAAAAAAAAAAAAAAAAAATTTCAGATGTATAAAGTTAGTAAAAAAGGTAGGG